CCACAGATTCCTGTATTTCCACAAAAACCAGCGGCTTGTGATATGCATCGTAGCGTAAACTGCAAACACATAGAAGCACATGAGCTACTGTAGTAACATCCTGAGGAAACCGCCTCTCCCTGAACACTCTACTGCAAGGAGGCATCACTGGCAGGATTCAAAAAGTGGAACTTGTGTGTATTTTTCTGTGTGAAGGAGGTTAGGTAAGTTTTCGAGCAACACTGAAACCCCTGTAGTTCTGCAAAACCTCTTTTACTATGAAATCATTATTTATTGCGAAATTTCAGATTTCCAAATGATCCGAAGTAGGAGTAGAAGCAGCCCATTTCTTCTCTTTAATTTCCTCAGATTTGATTCCTTTGAATTCAAGAGAATAACAGGAAGACGTAACAATGAAGCCAGCAAATACAAAGAACCCCCGCTGATGACTTCTCTTTTGAGTAACTGATCCATTTCCCTGTCTGAAACCAGTTGGCCTGTTGAACTTGTTCAGGAAGGTGTGACCAGGAACCAGGGAGTGGGATAAAGATTCACACTCCAAAGGAGTAAATCCACTCACTTTCGTCAGGAGAGACCTTTTGTCATCTGATCAGGGTCAAACTCATCTCAAGTCTGCAAATTCTGTGGTTTTTCTCTTGTCACTTCCAAAGAATGCCTCCATCCTGTATTACTGTTCTTCTGAAAACCAGTCATATGTTATTGTAGACACTGGTGATCAGTAGAAACCTTTTCATCAACTCCATTATGTTGTTAAGTGTTCTCTCTCTCTAACCCACAAACTTTACAGAGAATTAATTATTATTGCTTTCCACCTCACTTTGGCTTGAAAATCTAATGTCATGCTCACATTCAAAACACACGAAATTGACAAAGCTATGTAACAAAACCTCAGCTGCAATTATGGGGCTGGAACTGGATGACACATTTAAAATATTTGTTTTGCAGGACACTTATCATACCTCCTGCAGACAAAATAAAAGGCCTCCCTTCATCTCCTTTATTATAAATATTTGAGAACAGCGAGCCACCCATATATCTACAGTCACCATTCCCGCTTTAATATCTCCAGGCCACATGGAACCTCCCCCTCGAGGTAAATGCTCTGCGTGCGTGATAGTTATTTATGTAAACAACACCTGGTTAGACTAGAGATGATGACGTTGGCAGAAAACACACACCACATGTTATAATGAGATATGCTGCTGGTCATGTGTCTCACGTGTAAGAAAAACATGCAAAAGTAGGTTTGGTAGTTTTGACTGTGAATGAAGGTTTTGTGTTCACACGCCTTTTCTTTCTCATTGAACTTATTTTACCTGGAATTGATCTCATTTGAAATGAGCCATTGCGGGTTGGAACAAGAATGGTCATTGTTATCGTAGTTGTTACATTGCTGTTTTTGGAAGTCACATTTTTCTGATATGCTGCAGCGTTGACTTCCAACTCTAATTGTGCTGCTTTATTTACTTTGTGTTTGACTCATCTGGGAGAGTTTTTCTCCCTGTTATTCTGATAATTATAAGAAATGTGGCAAAATAAAGCAACAAAACAATTAGTTACTGCATAAAAATAACATATATAAAGAATTTCTGCAAGACCTCCAAGAGAGAAACGCAATTACAAAATGATTAAACATCATATATAATCATACAAAAGTGTTCATCTTAGAAACAACCCATTAAACAACTGAGCTAAATAACCACAACAATTATTACTTATTTCGATGTTAACATGAGACTATTAAATAATGACAGCTACAGTATATATTGTTCCACATATTCTGCCATTTATGTATTTCAACATAACAAGATGGTTCACAGCCATATTTAGCAGGAAGCTGTAGATACTAATGACACTGGTAACACGCTGACATGCAGCAGGCTTGTCGTTTGTTTTGCCACCATCCTTGTTAATTGTGTTGGTACTTGCTAATTACTGCAAAACACATAGTAGAGCTGAGGCCCAAGGCAACTTTCCTTCACCTGTGTGTGTTGCCAAGATGGTCTCTGACTTAAGAAACGTGACCAATTTGACCTGGGGACAGACTGAAAGGTACTTTTACTTCACTATGACTCAGACAAATATTGGACTGGAACACTGTCTTCATTGTTGACAAGCTGTAGACACACATCAGTGAAAATGCTTGTGTATCTCACGCTTGTGACATTTGATTTACAGCAGTTTAAAAAAAAAGGGAAGTGGGTATAAAACACTTCCATGAATGCACCGTGGGTTTATATAGCGCCAATGTACTTCCTGCATTTTCTGTTTGCCCTGTTTCCCACAATAGAAGCATCACACTCCCTGTTTGTCTTCTGAACACGCTGCATAACCACTAAAGCAGAGATCGTATAAGATGGTATCTCTTCTCGCAGCAGAGAACTCAGCCAACCTCCTTCTTGGAACAGGCCTCTAATCTTTGATTCACTGGAGTCGGAAAATCCTTCTGTCCCACGTCAGTCAGTTATTTCCAATCTTAAGTTTGAATAAAAACTTGATCTCATCAACATCTTTTTCCCTTTCTCAGCTTAGTCTTGTTTAAAACACACGCCTTGATTTTGTTTCTTGAAATCCCCAAATTTCCTCGTGGCTCAGCTGTGAACTGTGTTGACTTTGTCCATTAAAGGAGCCTTTTATTTTCTGCGATATTCTTGCTTGAACCACCCATTTTCTTTCACACTCCCTGCTGTAGTCAGAGATCGTCTTTGTTTCCTCCACACTGACGTGTGATTACCTGGGAAGAGGTTTAGAAACTAGTTTCAGTTTCTTTATTATTCAGGACTTTTTTAATTAAAACTCCGTATTGGCTTTTGAAGGATCTGTGGCAGCCACACCCGCTAAGGTTTTCTCTCTGACACTGATGTTTCATATTCAAGGACCAGTGTGTATGTGATTTAGGGGGTTTACTGACAGAAATTGATTGTAATATGGAATATAGTAGTTAGAAGTAATCCATAATTATTACTTTGAAGGTGTAGAGGGGTTGTGTTTTCATGATCTTAGAGTCATCCTCTTGCGTTAGACAGATTTCACTAAAAAACAAATTCAGGAGCCATTTACATTTTTTACAAACTTTGCTGTTAAACTACTGATGTTGAATTATTTCACTGGAGGTGAAAAGTTTTCAACAATAAATTCCATGGCAATCCATTTGACAGTTACAAAGATATCAAGGGCAGCTGATCAAAGTCAGTAGAGTTTATCATCCTCTGGGGACCATAAATGTCTGTAGTTAGTTAGTGGATGTCGGATATTTTCATCCCTTGAGCCTTTCTGCTCACAGGGCTAAACATATTTATAACCAAGCAAATACATCCAGAAATATCAAAAAATAAAGCAAATGGCTTTTAAATAACTCGTGATAATGTAAGAGGATTAAACTTAGGCAAAGGGACTTGCATGGTTCTCTCAATGGGCACTTAGATTATAAACTTTACCTCCAATGCAACATGTCACAACACACTCTCACGTGTTTCAGAGCTGCAGCTGCACCTATGCCGTGGTTTGGACTGGTTTGACACTGCTCTCGCTGGCTGTTACCAGATATATGGTGAGGGTGGGGGCCTAAGTTGAGATGGTCCATTATGTCACTGGTGCCCCAAGAATAGTTCCAGTGTGTCCAGCGAGGCCCTGAGGCGAGTGTGACGTCCAGAACCTAACTGTTGTCGGGCCAAACCCAGGAGAAACAGGGGCCTTACTGTTTCCCTGCGTCAGGCACACCCAGCCACACGCACACACACACACACGTGTGCAGACGAAGCAGTCGCACACACACATGGAACCGTTTAAAGTTTTCCTCTGCCACTGTTCCAAATGCCCCCAGAATAAACACTCTGAGCAGATCTGAGCCACTGAGCCCAACGATCCCCATTAAAGACAGACTGTGACGCAATGTGATGGAAATGAGAGGTAGTGGGTTTCAGATGTTTTCTCAGTACGGCGTCGCACACATGCTAGAATTAAGTCAAGTGAAACTTTCAGTTGGAGGAGCATGTGGTCATGGGCAACTCGTATATTGACATGAATACTGAATGTTTTGAACATTTTCACCCGTCATGTAGATCGTTATTGATGATTTGTGTAAAAACTAAAGAGCTAATATGACAATTAATGGTTTCAACTTATCAAATGTGAGGATTTCCTCAGTTTCCTATCACTGTAAACTGATTTATTGAGATTTTGGACAAAAACGAGACATTTGAAAATGAAGTCTTGAAAGAAATTGAACTGACTGTAGGTATGAATGTCAGTGTGAACGGCTGTTTGTCTCTATGTGTCGGCTCTGGACAACACTGGCAATCTGTCCTGGGTGTACCCCGCCTCTTGCCCAATGTCAGCTGGGATTGGCTCTAGTCCCCCAGTGACCCCTGAAGCTGGACGGATGGATTCTGGAGAAACTGGTCAATAGTGATGACCCAATTAATATTAATTAATTGAAAAATACTTGACAGACTTACTGATAGTTTTTGTCAATCGTGTGTTTGGTGATGAATGACTTAAGTGTTCATTTTTTACATGTTATAACCTCTCACCTTCTTCTTCTTCTAATAATAATAATAATAAATGATAATGAAAATAATTAGCTGTACTCGTAAATCATAAATGGAGAGGAAAGAAAGAAAGAGACACAGACAGCTGGAAAGAAAAAGAAAGGAAAGGAAGGAAACAAAATATAATATATGGGTTAAAAGAATATGGCTTTAAAATGTCCACTTTTCTCAGAGACATTAAATGCATCAGGCTGTGTTTGGGTGATTGTGTATAAGAGGAGACACATTTGAGTGAAACACGAAAAAACATGGAGATTTGAGTTTTTCACTTTGTATAATAATGTTTTCATAAGTGAAACGAATAGATAAGACTTGTTGACTGTTACGTGTCTGTGATCGTCACCTCCTCCCCCTCTCCTCTACCTCCCCCCCACCTCCACCTCCCCCCCACCTCCTCCTCCTCCTCCCCCTTAAACACGCCATCCAGCCCTCGGACGTAAGTGCTCGTCCCCGCGTGCGACGTGCTCGCGCCTGCGCTGCGTTTTAAACAGTTCTCCCACGAGCTCCGTGATTCAGTCACACACACACGCGCGCACCGAGCAGAGGCACGAGGAGCCGAGTCTGTCCCCGCGGCTTCCGTAGATCATCACCCGGCGTGTGTGTTTGTTATAAATGACACCGGAGTGTTTCCATGTTGGAGGACAGAGAGTGTGTGTGTGTGTGTGTGTGGACTACAAACCTGCACCTGAGTTTTGGGAAACATCACCTGAGGCGCACGAGCATCGTCGTTTGCATGAACGCGTGCAGGTAAGTTTCAAATAACCTGAAACTCTCGTGAAGTGTAAAAAAAAATTGCTTTCACTCTTTATCTTGTGTGAAATGTTAATGGAGTCTGGCGATGTTTAGTTCTTGCCCTCCAGAACGTGGACTTTTATCGGGCTCACGCTGAACCTCGATCAGAAATCTGTCAATTTTAACTTTTCTCGCCAATTTCCTCTAATGAGACATCGCACATTATGTGTTTGTGTTGTTTGTAGTGGTCCCTAAGCTCGGGTGGATAATTCGGTTTATAAGAGGAAGGAGCACATCACTTTGAAATAAGTGAAGTGTTCAAGTATTGTTTGCCCCTGTCTACTATTGATTGCTTTCATTTTGGTTGAAGAATGTCAGACAATCAGGTTCAGCTCTGTTGAATAAGTTTGTTATTCTTTGCTATATATTGAGAATAAAGTGGTTGGAAAGGAAAATAAATATAAGCAGAAAAAAGGGCTGGGAAATAAGACATTATCAATAATAATCACAATGTATTTTTCATCAATAACGATATGAGAAAAGTTGAAATTAATATATTGATATAGTGCTTATGTTTAACACGCTGATCTACCTGTGGAAATGTTTCGCTGTCAAGTTTTTTTTTAAATAAAGAAGAGTTTAAAACCACAAACTTCACTCAGGAACAAAAATCAGTGTTTAAAACCTAAAATAAATAATAAGAAGAAGAAATTGATCGGGATAATCATCGAAATCCACTGATATAAACTTTTTTTTATCTCGATAACATTTTTGGCCTCATCCTCAGGCTCTAAGCCGAGAATGTCCAAAGAGACTTTTGCATCTGACAGCTCTTAACACTAATCTGAAAACATTTAGATTTAGCCTGAATCACGTGTCAGGTAGAAACAGTATTGTACAGCAGTATTTGTTCAATGCAAATTATCAGCCTGTGTGCACATGTGCAGGTTGTGTTGTCAGAGTTATTTTTTTTTTCATTTTTCTGACTCACACGTGTGCATGTGTGCCCGTTCCCAGATTTCACCAGGCTCTAGATCAACCTGCTTCTCCTTTCTTGGTGTGACACACACTCTGAAGCATGCCATTGTTTTGCTGGGAAACATATTTTAGTTTTTGGGGGGGGTGCAAAGCTGCTTCCTGCACAGGAGGGTCTACTAACAATGGCCACCGACTTGGAACAGTCGGCGGTTCTCTGCCCCGCGTCTGAGGAGGAGGCTAGGATGTTGAAAGAATGTCCGAGAAAGGAGAAAGGGGGGAAAAAATAAAGTTCAGCACAATGGAGAACATGCGGTTCTGCAGGGTTTGAGAGATGGCAGACAATGGGTGGGGGGGGGCAGATGTTCTTGCATAACACTTTGCAAGTTCACAGTCGTCTCTAGTTCATCCAGTAACTTATAGTGTGGAGGTATGAGTGCCGCTTGTCTGATTGCATTTGTCACCTTTGTGCTACCGTAACCTTCCCTTTATTTTGGCGTGTTACCACCTAGTCGCCGTGTAACTCCGTCTCCTCGCTGCTCCGAGGATGAAGCCAAACCTGACAGTAAATATTTAATGGACGGTGAATAATTGTTCTTTGCTGAAAGCGTCACTGTAGTTACTGATCCTGCCCGGTGGCTTTAGTTTTTTTCCACGCTGCAGGACAAGTTGTGCGCGGAACAAATCTCAAGAAACTGTCACCTTCAGTTATTCCTGTTTCTTTTTTAAACTGGATCCTCATCAACCTTTCTCTGCTTCCTTTCAGATAAAAGCAGTGGATGCAACTTCGCTCCATTCGTAGGGGAAGAGGTGGGTGAGGCCCTTTCTGAAGACGACCACAGGTGGTTCCACCTCGGCTGAATTTATCTCCAAGCGCACCATGTCCCTCAGCACTTTCCACCTCGTGCAAACACTCAAGAACTCTCCCGCTGCCTTTCGTCGGCGCTTTCGCCGCGACCGCACAGAGTCCCTGTCCCACGGCGACCCCCTCTTCAAAGTCCACTACCTGGGCACAGAGAAAATCTTCTCCCTGGACCGAGAGCAGGCCCAGGACGCCATCAGCCACCTGCTGGACGGCATCTCTAATGGGAAGAAGCTGAGCAAGGATCACGCCCTGGTGGTTCGACCGAGGTACGTCGAGGTCAAGGAGCTGAGCACGGGGCGGCAGCTCACGAAGACGTACCTGCAGGACATTGCGTACTGCGCCGCCGACGCCAACCGGCCCAACGTCTTCCTGTACATCTGCAAGCATCAAGGCCAGCAGCTGCAGTGTCGGGTGTTCTGGTGCAGCCGGGCGGAGCGGGCACGGGACATGACGGCGTGCCTGGCCCACTCCTTCCAGCAGGCGCTCAGCGACTGGCAGCAGGACGGCTCGGCCACGCTGACGACAGGGGAGGTGAAGGGGAAAAGTGTGGAGGAGTCGTCCAACTCTCCCACCATCAACAAGAGCTCCACCCTGCCCGCCAGTCTGGGAAAAGGTGAGATGACAATTGATCTACAGGCTACACCCATATATCTACGTTAGGTTTGAAAACGTCTGTCGTCCACACTCATCCAGAGCTAAAATGGAGACGCTTGGAAAGGCTGCGAATCAGTTTGAAAGCTCCGGAGCTGTGTTTGAGTCTGGACAGGCAGATGTTTGGAAATGATGACGTAGACACTTACGACCACCACTTGCTGATTGAGTCTTTTCGGTCACGATGGAGCTGATTCGCTGACTCGTCACGCTGCTATCACATGACCTTCATCTGGAAGATGATGTTGTGCAGTTAAATTCTGTATTTTATAATAATACAGCTGCTCACATGCATGGGAGACATAAATAATTAATTTCGAGTCAGGGTCAATCAAACTATTGTGTTGCTATTTAATGTGTGAATGCTAACGTTGGCTTTTCAACTGCAACATCACTGACTCTCTCTCTCTTTCTCCTCAGTGCGCTGGAAGAAGCGAGGCTCCGTGTCCCGCAGCCCCCTGAGGGCCATCACCAGGAGAGGGTCCGCCTCAGACAGCTGGAACTGAACCCCGGCTTTAACCCCTCGAACATGATGGGACCACATCGACTTAACGACGACAGCACTGACGGGAGGGAGGGAGTGATTTTTACAAGACAGAACAGAAGGAAGGACGACGGGAGGGGGGGGGGGATGCTGCAGGAAAGTGGAGGAAAGTCCATATTTGGACAGCGTGTGTGGGGACTCTGCTTGTGAGAGGATGTTATGTGTGTGGACTCGAAGGTTTGTGACGCAGCACAGGTGTCTGTTGACGTGCGGCGTCCACTGCAGCACACGATGCCATTGACGGCTTCCTTTGTTCGCCTGTCAGCAGCGATCTGAGGACTTGTGGCTGGCCATGAGACGTTTGAGGACCAGACTGATTCAATTCTGAGACTCTCT